GCGCCTGTTATGCAGTTACACATACACAAATGCAGAAGGCAGTGCGTTGAGGGGTCACTATGTTGGTGAGCGTGACTAATACCTTTGTCTACTCGAATTTGCGTCGGGTGCTCGCCCTACTTCGCTGCCGGCGGCTCGCCTTCTAGTTTTGCAAATAACTGACTCTTTTTACAACTCGAGTAGGCTACCTGTTTTTAAGCATGACGAATGTTCTGTTTGGACTGCAGTAGAAACGTCCAGTGTGCAGAGGATAGACAATTCCATCTACCAATGTGTCTAACTCCTAATTTTACTACACATTATGGAAATATTGAACTCATCGAGGCCATACATTTGCTGGTGGGGCACATTTTAGGAGTCTAAACGTTATTGGAAGATAACTATTTCATGATACAATGCAGACCATGTCATGTGACTGTAATATTATCAAATATTTAAAGAACTTTCAAATGGGAGTCGATTAACTGTCCTAGTCAAGGCGTTGTAAAACGATAAAAAAGCATTTTCGCATGTGGTTCACAAAGAAATCTACAGACGCTAGATGACTGCATATTCCGGCGTTGGAGTATTCTCTGGAGCAAACATGCAAGTGCATGCATTTACGCCGCTTTCGTTCATCAGTCACAAGACACAAGAGCAGAGGGTTCAAATGGTCTTGACGTGGCTTGAAAAAGTTTCAGTACAAGAAGATCCTTTAAGGCAGATAAGAAGGCTTTCATTGTGAACTCCCAGATGTGAATGCTGCCTACTTCGACAATGCATGTGTGACTGATAAAAATTCGTGTTTAAGTTTACATGGTAGAGATGCTAGTGCTTCTTAAGTCAACAGCTATAATACTTTGATAAACAGATGTTTTCAAGCAATTTCAAAGTGATCTGTAAACAGCGGACAAGCTCGTGAAATTACCTCAGTACCCGATTTAGAGGGGTCTTGCGATAAGCGAGTATTAGCATCATTATCCACCGACTGTGGCAGACTGTTTGGCGGTGAGGCTTTTGCGCTCGACTTGCCATTCGTTTGCGTCGCAGTGCGAGCTGCACGTCTAGTCCGTCTAGCGCTGCGACGACCGTTGTTGGAAGCATTCTCCTCCAGGTTGGAGGGTCCCTCCTTGTCTGCCTCTTCGTCGTCGCCTGCATCACTGTCCTCACTTCGGTCAACCTCATCATCTTCATCATCTGACATGGGGAAGCGTTCCTGCATAAAAAGGTCCTGTAGGACTGTGCGCACCTGAAAAAGAAAACATTAACTGGTTATGAAACCACGATCGAGGAGCATCCGAGGGAGAAAGTGAAGGTAGGTTACTTACCAGAAATTTCATGGCTCGTTTATCTTCTTTGCTAGTGTTTGACTGCCTTTTGACGTGATGGATTATCAGAGAAGCAACATCCTCCAGTAAAGAGGCACACACATTAGGCGGAGGGTACTCAAGAGTCATATGCATTCCGCCATCGTCGCCAATACCCTCTACTACGTGACTCAAAGCAGACCCTAAGGATCCTGGGTGGAGAGAATCGTAGGCGGAGGAACAGGAAGTCAGACATTTTGACAGTAAGCATCCGACTGGGTCAGGTGAGTCCGATTCAGACGACTGCGACTGCATAAGGTGAAAAAAAAGGGTTGATTATAACAGAAAAACAGTCGCTATTCATAGTTGGTGATTGACTTCGGTCATTCATGAAAGATAATTCCTGACATGAAGGTAGCAATGGAGAACTATAAGTTAGAAGTGGGGCGCTTAATTATTTGCCAATTTGACCTAAAAAATCATATAAGACCTTTACCTCCACTGCAGTTACTACAGTTACACTAGCAGAATTGGGAATGTACAGATGATTCGGAACAGCAATACCGGAGACAAAGCACAACCGAACGAAAGGGAAATCTGACCAGGCTAGAACTTGGAATGGTGGCATCGACCGGTGTTTCTATTCACCGGGCTGTGAAAACGAATAATTTCAAAACGAAACTGAAGGGTAGTTATAGAAAGGGACGATATAAAACTTCAAGCCAACAACGAAAGGTTCGTGAATTCTGCCTTTGAGGATTCAAAAGTACATAACTCTGATAAATGGTTTTTTTAATCTTCACTCAGGCGATGGCTCGCCCGCCCCCTTCCGTTAGCTTGACCCCCTTCGGTTAGCTTGACCAGCAAAATTTGAAGAACAAACGCATATTTTATGCGTACGCTGAATTAATTTCGTCTGTTAGGGCAAAAACTCAGCTTAACTAGGACAAGACAACGAAAATTTGTAGGCAAAGGATGAGGTCTGCTGTCTATAAAATAAATCAAACGGCCAACGCCAGCCATCAGCACGTCAAAGAGCCGTTGGTCGGTTACTCGTGAGACCTCGCGAGTTCAAAACATACTATAGTGAAAGTGTTGAGACCGAAACGCACTGTATAAAATTTCAAGACTAAAAAGACGGTTTGTGGGATTCTTAAACGGCTAATGAGTTTGTACCAATCAGAAAATCGTGAAAAATACACGCCTGGGTGCAGGCTAAGATTAAAACATCACACAAATCAAAACCGATAAAAATACGATATAGTAACTCACTTTTTCCCCCCTAGCGATAGCTTCAATTTGATTAATGACTGTCTTCGTTCGGAGGAAGGGATTGTCACGCTGCTTAAATGTAGCACCCTGGTGGTCCAAGGAGCGCAGGTAGTTCTTGGCATCCTGGTCAGACCAAATACGGTGAAATGAACGCACGGCTTCGCGCCACTCGTTGTCCTTTTGACGCATACGTTGAATTACAATCGGAACTACGGTTGCTGGACACGTTTTTAGGCCGTAGATTACATCACCTGCCTTGTCGCCGTAAACTCTGCAAAAAAACGAAACAAGGTGAGGAATACTCATAGAGGTGGATGGAGTGAGGCCACACACAAATTATCGACGAGAAAATGTTGAGGTACCACAAAATTTGACAAAAAACATTCATGACTAACTGTTTGCAGCCGAATTCGGGAAAGAACACTTCTATTCTGTGAATGCAGCGAGCATTAGATAAGTGTGAAATACACCACTTCCTATAAGGAGAAGCTGACGTCGAAAATAAATGACGCCATGCACTTAAATCGAGGCAACTAGCGGCAGCCCGACAGTGCAAGTCTCAGAAACTCTCATGTGCAAATGTTTGCTAGAGTTGGCAGCGGAGTTTAGTGATAAACTCCGAGTTTTCTTAAAAATGACGCGCAGGCGGCATTGGTTAATTTGGAATGTCTTTGAAAAAAGTCGATTCACGTAGAAGACACACACACACCTACCTCCACTACAGGGTTTACGACAAAATGGACATTGAAAACTCTTCATGAGGATAAATATAAGGAATTTCAAGACACGATAAAGAAGGTTCGTAATAGGTATATAAAACGTGCCCAAAGAAAAACCTGCAGTATACTAGAAGTACGCAGTATGGTAAATGTGGCACAGTGCTCACAGGCTGCGGCCAAAATTGTCAAGGATGTGACAAAAACGCTAAAAAAAATATGTTAAAATGAAAAAGCACATGGTGAATAATAAAAATGGTGCATTGGTAGCAGATGACACGTAAACTGAAGTTTGCATACCTATGAATGGCTTTTTTCATCAATATAGCAGAGGTTCCGCCCAAAAGGTCATCAAGATGAAAACTCTGCTGTTCCTCTCGGTTCATGCGATCAATTCGGCGTTTTACCACGATTAGGTTTTGGAGGGCTGCGCGGTTAACTTCCATAATCATGTCCGCCTCGTATCTTTCGTCTTCGGTATGATACATATTCTCTTCGTACTGATTCTTTTTAGAGGAAACAAACTGCGAATCCTCTGAAGTCAGTGATGAAAAACTTATGTATGAATCGTTCAAAACCTAAAAGAGATGAATAAGTCATCAGGAACAAAATGAGACTTACGGTTCGTGCTATAGCACTTTTTGCGCGGCCGGAACATTTGGGCTGAGGAAAATCCGCCGGTAGAGCGCGGTAGCTGGCGCCACATGTGCGCAGTTTATTGAAATCTAGGTCCAGGCGGCGCTGTGATACCTCACTAACAAGTGCAATCATTGCTGCGTTGTCCGGTCCAGCCAGTGGATGAGTGATGTTTGAATCGGATAAAGGAGGACTTGATAATGAATTCGATTGTGCTGGAGGCTGAAAACTCAGGGACATTCCACCTGCCCGCTTGTCATTCTCGCCCTCACGATCGGGTGTACACACTCGATAGCCAACTTGGTCGTTCGGCGAACTTATACTGTGTGTCCGGCCGCCAATTTCCGGTGCGACAGCCTGAAACGACAAGAAAGCATAAGATTCTTTCGACTGGATGGCAATGAGTACAAATGCTGTTGATAGAAAAAATATACTTACACTGAAAAGATCGCGGAACTGCCGCCATAATTCAGGAAATCTTTGAAGCAACACTTTGGCTGTGTCGATTAATTGGCTTTCTGTGATCAGTTTCCTGTTAAATAAACTAATATTTTGGAGAAGTGATTGATAAGGCCGACTGGTACTACCCACATCGACTTCTAGGGCATCACGAATCTGTAAGAGGTTAGAACATATGCGATAAACTGTTACCTTTTGGAGGAGTGTGGCGTCACCACCGTTAAGCAACGAAGCCGTGTCTGCTATGCTTACATCACGAACCGACTGGCGAGATTTTTTGATAGCAATATTTGGCTCAGTCGAAACGCCTGCATGTGGTGTAGAAGACTGTGCCGTTCTCTTTATCTTCTTTGATTCAGCTGCACCTGAAGACTGGGGACCCAAACCAGGGGAGCTTAGATTGGGTGATGAATCAGGAACACGGTGCCAGTGAGAGTCGGGAGGTGGGGGCAAACCGCCGGGGGCAAAACGGTTATGGGATGATCCCAAATGCACTGCTGAAGACAATTCGCTAACGGATCCATAGGGCACTCCCTTTGTGCTAACGTCGGACTAAAAGGACAGATGTCAAAGTGTGTCAACGACTTACAATGTCCGATGCGACACCCGTGGATTCGGGAAGGAAACGACTGAATTCCTGGAGCAGATCTTCGTGGCCATGAAGTAGTTTTGCTACATCTTGATATACTTGTTGTTCGGCCTTCTTGCGTCGCAGAGAGTCTGTATGACCCTGCTCTCTCTGATACCATTGGAGTATTTCCAAAAAGCTTTTGTACACATCAGGCTTAGCTTGAAAACGGTTCTAAAATTAGGAATTTGTGAGGACTAAAGATAATCGAACCTTGACTTTATTGACATATATTATAGCGTGGTTGAATGACTGCGCCTGATGTTGCTGTTGCTGCACATTTGATATGTAAGTTTGGGGAAAAACCATATGACTAGGAGTGGATCCACGCAAAGCATCTGGATTTTCCACGATGGCAACGGTGCTGATGGGCTGAGTTGGCGGTACTGAACCAACATTCAAAGGGTGAAGAGTATGAGAATCTGTGGTTGTGGTTAAATGCGAACGCAGAAGGGGTGGTTGGCTTGGTGAATTGGCATTCAAAGGACAAGTGGTATAGTAATTTGTACGAGAGGATGAATCCGCACCGCTAGTGACAAAGGCCAGCTGTACAGGGGGCGAGGCTGCAGTCTCTATGGGAACATCGGAATGACGGAATGCCGAAAAGGACGGTAGCT